GGGGTTGTGTGGGGGGACCCTGGAAGGTGACCCCCGAAAAAATTGCATGATATCAGGTGGGGTTCTCGAAATTTTTTTGTATCACAGGCATTTTCTCCTCCAACCCCCCATCCCCCACCCCCTCGGTTTAAATAATGACCGGTCCCTAATTATCTGACTTTCCAGAGCCTTGGGTTGGATAATGAGTAGGGTCTGGGTACGTGAATAGGTTGAAGGACGTGTGGTGGCCATGGGAGATCATTGTATTTCTCTGTAATTTGGTAGTGTTAATGTGAAAGGTCAAAAAGTGTTTCTTTATAGCCATATGTCAAAAACATGGCCATTTACATTGCTATATGCCACTCGTTCAATGGGGTTATTTCTTTCTGGAACCATAAAGTTTTTCACGTACATAATCATTCTCTCGATCGATATGGACATTGCTAATTTTTGATTTGAATTGGTTCATGTGATCAATTACACGTGGCCTAACCTTGTGATACTAATTTTGCATGCGAATTGCACTTCTGTAATCGTATTGTATTTTACGTTGGCCTTTAAAATTTGGTTAGCTGCAAAGCATGATTTCTTACAGTTTTTTTTAATATTGAACTAGGCATTTTTCAGTTTTCCTTACCTTTACAGAAAATTAAGACAGAAACGATACCACTAAATAAGATCCTTATGTTATTTAATCGGGTACGATGAAATAATCACATATCAGGCGAATAGCCTAAAGCTCTTCACATCTCACAATCTAATTGCTAAGCAATCAAAATCAGGAGAAAAAAGAAGATATATATATATATCCTACTTGCAAGAACGTTGACATGCGATATTAGAACATTAGTGATTTAGTGAGAAAGGAATACATTAAAAGACAAAAGAAAAAGTTCAGCTTCAGTGATTTTCTTTTGTTTTTTTAATATAATTCCTATTCCACTAAATCACTAATGTTCTATTTTCGTATGACAACGTTCTTGCAAATCGGTGTATATATATAACAGGCATTTGCAAAAATTGTGGCCGCTTCCATATATATGTACAGGTACTGATCAAAAGCATATTAAAAATTATGGRATATCATCCCTGATATTTTTTTCGAGTTGTCTATCACTTGGGCTTTCCGAAATAAATATCAAGAAATATATCTCGCCGTGTCTGATATACTTTTGATCGATATACTTGTATGTATATTTGAAATGGCTATAATTTTTTGCAAAT